GCCCCCCCGTCCCCCCCCCGCCGGCAGCGTTGCCGGGGCCCCAACGGCCGGGCAGAGAGGGAGGGAGGCGATTTCTTCGGCAGGACTTGGGCTCTGTGCAGAAAGGGCAGGGTTTCCTAGCTCTTCATCAGCTAGCTAATCCCCGAAAGGGCTTTCCCACTTACTCCACAGCGTCTTATTTTCAAGAGTCTTGGCTAGGAGCCCTTGCAGGGCTGTGTTACCCGCTCGGCGATGCTTTAAGACATCCACTGGTCCAGGAGCCTTTCCTTTCAGGCAGTACTGATTGTCCTCCATAAATCTGTTTTTCTGCCCATCCCCTTGTTCTCCTGTCTGTTACGAGGTCCCACGTCTCACCCGTGGACGCTGCATGGGCTGGTCTGCAGTTCCCAGCACATGCCCCGGCCCAAGGCGGGGTTCGCCATGGCAGCATCCCGACGATGCAGGTGGGGAGAACTCGCTTGGCTTCTGTGCGAGGCCGGATCCTGCTGAGAGCATGCTCTGGGCGCTGCGTGCTCCCCGTGCCACTCCTGCTCCGGTCCTGTCTGTCCCCTGGTGCTCGCTGGGGGTTTGTGCCCAGCCAGGGCTGACACACGGGTCCCCTGGGAGCTCCTGCCCTTCAAAAGTTCGTTTTCAGCATCAGTGCTGGGAGTTGGAGCCATGGGAATACTGTTGCCAGCGGTTTAGGTAGCTGTGGAGGGCCTATAGGTACAGGATTAACTAGAGATGGAATCGGCAAATGTTTGCAGACTGGTAACATCTGGAAATCTGAGCACTGTGCTTGGGGTACTGAGCTGGGAAAGGCTTCCTTCACACACTGATGGGTTATAGCTGGGACCCAGCAAAGTGCTTTAATAACGTGCTTAACCTCAAAATGTCTCAGATGGTCAAATTGGGATTTATATAATGCATCTAAGTCCTCTAACGGTGACCTGAAATAACTTTTGCAGGTATGATCTGCAACTCTGTGCTATTAAAGCCAGCTGTCCTTTCCAGAAGATGCTTCAACATCACGATGGCAAATAGCAAATAAGTTTTTGGGGAGCAGCGAGTGCTTTGCCTCCTGGAGCATCGAAGCATCTCTGTTTCCAGTGGTGTATGTCTCACCTCTTTGCTTCCAGCAAGATATACAACCACGGCCCAAGCGTGCTGGGCAGGTTTCTCTGCAGGATCCGATGGTGGGGCCACGGTGGGCAGCGAGGGCCGACCAGGGAGGAGCAGAGGAGCTCTCTTGCAAGGTTGCTGACATCTCTGTCTCTGCTTTTTCAGGGTTACCTATCTGAAGGCTTAGTAACAAAATGGTATCGCTCCCCTCGCCTCCTCCTCTCGCCAAACAACTACACCAAAGCCATCGACATGTGGGCGGCTGGCTGCATCCTGGCCGAGATGCTGACGGGAAGGATGCTCTTCGCTGGTAGGTTTCTGGCTCCCATTGATTGATTTTTTTATTTTTCCTCCCTCCCTCCGTCCTTGCTACCCAATTCAAAGGCTTTTTAGCATGGCAGAGGGAATTTCCCTCTCTTTGCCAGCTAAGGCAGCGCCTGTAGCATCGCTACGGGGCCCCTGTGCTGGTTATTAGATGTGAGAGGTGTCTCCAGAGCAAACATCGCTTGCACAGCCTGTACTATTAAAGGGTCCCTTGGCTGGTGCAGACTTCCCTGGTACAGGCAGGCCCTTGGGGCCAGAGAGGAGTTAGCATCTTGATTTTCACTCTGCCTTATTGCGCTTGCCTGGGAAGGGCATGTGGTGGTACGGGTGTGATGGCACCGGGCGGGAAGCCACCGGCCGGTGGGGTGCCCGAGGCTGGCTGGGGTCGATGGTGCCTCTGTGCCAAGCTTTGGCGGGCAGGGACGGTCTGCTGCCGAAAGCAAAACCCCAAACAAAAGAATTGTGATGAAATAACAAAACCTTTTTCTGTTTCTGGGTTTCTAACAGAAAATAAGAGCTTCTTGTTGAGAGGAAGGACATTAAAAAAATGTCGTAGGGTGGAATATAAGGACATGAGATTATTTAGCCCTGTCCCAAGAGGTTTGTGCTCTGTGCTGTGGATTTTAATTGTGATTGGTATCTTCAAGATATTTTGTTTCCTTGAGGGAGAACATTTGAATGCCGCTTCCCGTAGGCAGCAATAAGGAGTTCAGCCTGAGCTGATCTGTGCAAGGAGCCCCACTGCAGCCCTGTGTCGTCCTGCAGGTCTGTCAGCGATCGCTGTGAAACCTATAGTACAAAAAAACAAAAGAATTAGTCTAAAATGCTCTTGTAAAATTAAGTATATTCTGCAGAGGCCCACATATGTGCTTTGTTGTATTTTCTGTGAGCAAATTCAGAGCCAGAGAGGCATCACTCCCGCTCGGGGGCTGCCTGGCTGGGCACACGTGGCTGCAGCCCTGCTTCTCCTCTTGAGCGTTGCAGGGGTGTGGATGTTCCACCAGTCTTGCAGCCGTGGTTTGCGTTGTCCTTCCCAGCTTCTACCACAGCTGCCTGCAAATTCGCCAAGTCCCAGGTTTTTCCTATAAGCAAGTATGGGAGTTGTAAAGGTGGAGCACAAGGAAAAGAAGACAACAAAAACATCGGCAAGGAGTGCGTAATTATCAGGGCAGCATTTGAAGCTCAACTCTGACGTTCTTGAGAAACAAATCTTTATTTAATACGATTCCAAAAATGCTGCCGTCGGGTGCAAAGCTGTGCTTCCCAGGCTGGGACGCGGCAGCGTTCGTTCAGGAATGAAGCAGCTGCGCTCCGACTGCTTTCCTGCCCTAGGTCTGCAGTGATGCTCCTCCTTGGTTGTCTCTTACCGTCACCCATTAGTGTTTTGAATGACAAGGTTTAACGCGTTCCGTGAGCAGCTGTTCACAGAGCTGTGTAAATAAATAATTAGACCCATTAATAATGGAGAAGGACGTTTTCTTCACCAATATTTCAGTGCACCTCAGAGCTCTGCAGCCAGTGCTTGATTGCAGCTGCTCTGTCGCTCCCTCGCCGCTCCCACTTGCAGCTTCCATGTTTCTTTTGTGAAAGCTGAAAATTAAGCAGTCAGTAGCATTTCGAAGAGATCATTAAAATTGCCTCCCTCTCTTTCCTTCCTCTTGTCCTGGGTCTTCCCTCCCCAGAGTTTTCAAATCCAGGGACTTCAGCTCTGAAAATTATGTATCAGACCCAGCTGCTCCTGCTGCCTCCTTGGGAGATATTCCAGGAACAGGGATGTCTCCTTGTCCCTGCAGGCGCGGGGCATTTTCTGGTCTTGCTGGGAGATGCTGCACGTGAGTGAGCTCCCGAGGCAGCTCTGCCAGCCATCTCCCCTTGCCGAGCTGTGGTTTGCACCGTGGAAGAGTCTCCGAGCTTTTTGGGTGGAAGCGAACTGGCCGATGCCTTTCCAGGGCAAAGCTAAGGCTCTGTCAGGCCAGTTAGTTTAGCTAAACTAGCTAAACTAGCTCCAGCTAAACCAGACCAGTAGAAACAAACCCCGGTGCAGATGGCAAGGTCCTGGACTTGCAGGAGTTGCCCTCAAGCAACTCACCTCATATTAAACTTGCGGTAGCTGGAACCAACAGGGAAATCCTTTTGGACTCTTAAGTGAATCTCTGTTCTCCTGTAGTTCCTCATGTCAAACACTGAAACAAGACTGGCTTGTCCAGGTTCTTCTCGGACCGTCCCCACCATAGTACCCAAATGCTCGTCTTTATCCTGGGTTTTCACACTGTTCTTGACCCCTGTCTCAGCCCCAGCTTGGTTTTTCTGCTGTTTGTGGACCACGGGGTAGAAGCTACATTGGCTGACACCAACTATCTACCACCTCAGTGTTCGAGCTGGTCCTTAAAGCTCCCTTCATGGTCAAAGCAGAGGCAAAGGCAGCTCTGGGATGTGATTTATCTGGCCTCTGCTATCTGTCTGCCTTAGATGAGATTGACTATGCCTTAGAAATATTTATTTTTCCAATACTGCTCATAAAGAGCATCTGGAGAACAAGCTGAAGTGCCCATGCTGGTGTTGCACATGGCTGCAGGTGAGGTCAGTCCTGTCCTGGCTGCCCAGGCAAGATGCAGCATCTTTGCAGGTTGGTTCCTGAGAGTCCTGAGCAGGTTAGAGATCAGAAGGTGGGATTTGGCAGATCACAGGCTGGGCTCAGCTGGACACGTGCGGCGAGCATCCCTGCTTCTCCGCTCTCCAGCCCTGTGCAATCACTTAATAAGCCCACAGATAATGGCAGGATGCTTAGTTAATGGATGGGGATCAAAACCAAAGCCCAAAATACATATTCACAGAATCACAGAACCAGAATCACAGAATGTTCGGGGTTGGAAGGGACCTCTGTGGGTCACCCAGTCCCACCCCCTGCCAAAGCAGGGTCACCCACAGCAGGCTGCACAGGACCGCGTCCAGGCGGGGCTGGAATATCTCCAGAGAAGGAGACTCCACAACCTCCCTGGGCAGCCTGGGCCAGGTCTCTGTCACCCTCAGAGGGAAGAAGTTCTTCCTCATCTTCAGCTGGAGCTTCCTCTGCTTCAGTTTGTGCCCGTTGCCCCTTGTCCTGTCGCTGGGCACCACTGGAAAGAGTCTGGCCCCGTCCTCCTGCCACTCACCCTGCAGGTATTTAGAGGGCTTTCTAGAGAGATGCTCCGGTCCCCTCATCATCCTCGTAGCCCTCCACTGGACTCTCTCCAGCAGCTTCTCACCTTTCTTGAGGTGGGGAGCCCAGAACTGGACACAGGACTCCACATGAGGCCTCACCAGGGCAGTGTAGAGGGGAAGGAGAACCTCCCTTGTCCTGCTGGCCACACTTCTCCTAATGCACCCCAGGATCCCATTGGCCTTCTTGGCAGCTAGGGCACACTGCTGGCTCATGGTCACCCTGTCGTCCACCAGGACACCCAGATCCCTCTCCACAGAGCTGCTTTCCAGCAGGTCTGCCCCAAGCCTGTACTGATGCATGGGGTTGTTCCTTTTGGGTTGCTTGAAAAATAGTCTGTAGAGTTTTTACAGGAAGGTCCTGGCCCCGTGCCCCGTCTTCCTGGCCTCCTCCTGTACCAATAAGTAAAGAAGAGCCTGGGTGGCAGCCTGGCAGCGGTGCCCACGTACCATCTTTCATATACTGGTGTCCAAAAAGGAGGAGAATAAAAACCCAGTCACTCAGAAGAGCTAAAACTGGCAAACACTTGCATGACAGTGAGGATTCATCTTTGCTTTTGCTTTTCTTCTCTTTACTTGGGAGGAGGAGTTTGCCCCCGGCAAGGTGCAGCCGTGCTCTGTGGCTGCCTGACGAGACTTTGGCCGAGTCCTGGGTCACCAGCAAACACCCCGTGGGAAATAGCAGCGATGTACTTCCCAGAAGGTTGCAGACCTCTGGTAATTGCCTTACGCTGGCTAAATTGTTTTTTGAGTATGCGTCAGCGGCACAATTTAAATTGGGTGCTTAGCATAAGTCAATATAATTAACTCAGTAGTCTGTCTGGGGTGCTTAAGCAACACAGATAAATTAAGATGATCGGTTATTAGGAATAGATGTCACTCGCTGCTTTCACTCTCCGAGACAAGTTAATGAGCACCCAGCGGAGAGGGACCCCCAGCCCCCATGCCCTCCCCGCAGCCCCTTCTCTGGGCGATGCGGTGGCAGGAGCAGCTTCGGGTTTGGCAGAGCCCTGGGAAGGCACAAGAAATTTGGCTAACCCTCTCCACCTTCTGTTGCTGAAGTGTGTCCAAAAGCATCGCCAGTGGAAGCAGGAGAAAACAGGAGAAAGAAAAAAAGCAGCCTGTCCTCGCAGATCTCCGTGGGGATCGCCAGTGGGGACATGCCCGAGTGCTGGGAGGTGGTGTGGTGGCTTTTCCTGTGGGATCGGTGCTTGCTCCCAGAGGACTCGCTGGCAGGGCTTGGGTTCTCGGCCAGGACTTGTTTGCAAGCCCAGGGAAGGGCTCCCTTTCCCAGGACATGATGCAGAGCTCCTCGTTCTCTCCTCGGGCAGTGGCAACATGTTGCGTTTATTCTGTCTGTAGTTCGTGTTTTTCTTTTCAGGGATTAATGTCTCCAGAAGGTCCCTAGGAATTATATAGATAGAAGATAATGGTGGAGAACTGGGTTCCAGAGAGCCATAACTCAACACTTCCAGCCTTGCATTAGCAGCTTCTTGGTGTGACTAAACACGGTGCCTTTCGGCTGCCAGGTACCTTCAGTAAGCAGAGGCTGGAGCTGCACTGAGAGGACAACAGCCACGAAGCCTTTGTGACTTTCACTGCCCTGTAATTTTGATCACAGTTTGGCAATTAGCCTGACGAGCAAGGTGTTTGTTTCCTGATGGTCATCTTTAGTTTCTCCTGGAGCCATGCTGCAAACCTCTAGACAACCTAAAATTAGGTTTTCTGTAGGAAAGTGAATTCATTTGCCGAGGACTGGGGTGCCCTGCTGACTCTTTTGCTTCTCCTATTGCTCTGTCTTCTTCTGAGGCTTTGTTCTGAGCGGACGTGTGGTGTGATGGTGGCCAGCCATGCTAATGTCAGTGTTGGTTTGGGGTTGTCTGAGTTCATTGCCCTGTCCTGGCTCAGAACTCTGCAATTCGGGGTGAAAGTGGCCACGACTGCATTGAACCAAACCTTGTTGGAGTGATGAGGCCATGATGGATGGAGACCCTTTCCCAACCTCGACGTTTGGACCTACCGCTGCCTACAGTGGGTGTGTTTGAGGTCAGCTCCATGGACGTGAGTCTGGAAACCTCCTGCAGACCCACGGGGAGCTCTGGGCTGGGAAAGGCAGCCTCTGCAAGGTGCTAGGGACCTCCAAAAGGACAGGGGTGCTTGAGGGCGTGAAGCCAGTGATGGTCTCCACCATCCCCTACGAGCTGGCCTCTCCACCCTCCCTGCAGGCTGATCAGGAGTGCTGTGTCATAAACGAGGTTCACTCCTCTTGCCGTGGATCTGCCGGGCACTGCTTGCTGGTGAAGCAGCCTGAAATCCATGACTTGGACAGCAGGGACTTGGTAGCCCAAAAATCCCCGTTGGTTTGTCTGCTCCAGCCAGCTCGCTGTCTTAATGGATTATCCTGCCTCTAATGACAGAATATTTATAACCAGTGTTTCTGGCAGACAGAAAATCAATAGTGCAACTCGGTATTTCTGCCAGGCTGCTTCTTTGTACACGTAGGAAGCTGGAAATCAGCCGCGGAGCTCTTGGTCGCATCCAATAGTGTGCTAAAGAGTGGGATTAACGTTCATTAATGAGGCGGTTGGCTCCGCTCCACGGGCACTGCCACTGCTCTCCTCTCACTGACTGGTAGCCAGTCCTGAGCGAGGGCTTAGGGAATGCGTGGATAAATATGTCCTGAAGCAAAAGGATTTTAAAATATATGATTGCTCATAGCAGTTGTGGGCATCGTCACCATCAGAGCCTTGGCTTGGTGCCCAGCAGCCAGGTGGGACCTGGTCAGGAAACCTCTTTCCTGTGGGGAGAGCGCAGAGGTCGGGCACTTGCATTCATTTCAAGATGAAGCTTTGGGACCCCTGGAGCTGGGTTCATGATCTTCATGTTACTGCTGAGGTTGTGGCAGCACTTTTTGTTGCTGCTGCACGGGAGGGCTTTGCTGCTTGGTGCAACACAGCGCGTGGCAGGGACACGTGGTGATGGCATCAGGCACTGCCCTGCCTGGCCGCAGCCGTGTGAGCCAGGATGCTTTATCTGGGGTTATGAACGAGCCCAGATACAGTATTGCTATAAGAAGGCCGTCAGTTTTGAGGCCGTTAGAGCCAATATCTGACTCCTTCCATCATGCAGGATGGACCCCACCGATGGATAATAGCTCCCATGCCCCATGATTTCAGTCAGGTACGGTTTCTGCTTCATAGCTATGTTAAATAGGTGGCTAGGTTAGTTGAAAAGATGCGCAGACAGCCTCAGGGTGATTACACCAGGAGAGCAAATTGTCTAGGTTAACTCTTTCACCCTGAAAAAGAGGTGACCTTGCTGGGAGTCCAACCATGTTTTGCTTGGAGCAAAGGGTGGTGGCTAATGTGAGGAGGCACCAGTGTGGAGGGGTTAGCAGGAGACGCGGCGCTGCAGGGACGTGGTTCATTTCAGAGGCGTGGCCGTGCAGGATGGTGGCCGATAATACCAAACCTCCCTCATTCAACTTCTGGGTCTCATCTTGCTGCCTCTTTTCTGCCCGTTTAGGGGGTCACGAGCTGGAACAGATGCAGCTTATACTGGAGACAATCCCTGTTATCCATGAGGAAGACAAAGAGGAGCTGCTCAAAGTGATGCCCACGTTCATCAACAGCACCTGGGAAGTGAGGAAGCCGCTGCGCAAGCTGCTCCCCGAAGTGGACAGTGAAGGTACCGTAGTGCCCGCTGGCTTCAGCAATGTCCTTCTCCTGGGAGTTTGCCAGGCTGCGGTGTTTTCAGACCTATTTTTCCAGGGGGGGGTCACAGGAATCATCCTCTAAGGCCAAGTGAACGGGATTCAGATGTCTGGGGGTCTGCAGCGCATGGTCCCACCTGGAGCTCACGCATCCCCACCGCTGTGCCCCCGGGTCCTGCTCACTGTCACACCAGGGAAGGCGTGGGCTGCAGGACAGCGCTCATGATGCAGTAGCTTTCTCGCAGGTAGCTCATACAGAAATAAGGGTGAAATTGTCTTCCAAGACTATTCCAGAAGACTTTCAAGGTGCATCCCTGCTTTCCCGTGCCTCTTCTTGAGCTGTAAATGAGGGTTCTGCCGAGAGGTTGTTTTCAAGCCCTGTTCATTTTCTTGCTCTGCTTTTTGCATGACCGCAATTGTATAGTACAAGAAAATAAATGCTTTTCCTCTGTAAATATCTGAACTCCATGAGATGGTTTCTACAGGCAGAAACGTTGCTCAAGCGCTCTGAGGCTTGGACATTGCTTGGGTTGGGCTGTCGGAGCCTGCAATGATCAAAGACCACTTCAGCCGCTTTCCTGATCTGGCTAAAGCTTAAAAAACAAAATCAGCAGCTTGCTGTTGCGAGGGGGCTGCAAACCACAGGCGTTTGGACCTGAACTCCTGCCTGGATCAGCTTTGTAGGCAGTGAGAGCTGGCAGGGTGGCAGCCAGAGTTGAGCAGTGTGGACCAGGGCACGTCAGCTCTTCTGAGCTCCTTCCAAGGCTTAAACTGGGCTGGTGGACCTGGCCACCTGCCTTTGGGAAGACGTCAAGACCAAGCCCAGCTTGTGTTCGCTGGCGTAACGTCATGGTAAGACGTCCGCTACAGGGGCTTGGCAATGCAATGCCCGTCAGCCCGGGTTAGCCAAGGACCGTGTCAGCCTCTGGCAAGCAGGAGTGGATTTATTCCGTCGTTACTGCAAGAAGAAAGGTCACCTGCATCCCTTACATAATTCATTGACATTTTCCTTCCTCTCTGACCCATAAAATATCGTAATATATAACTCCTAATATATCATTTCGCCATGTTTCTTGCCCGCAGTCAGTGACCTTATGAAGCTATTGATTCCTGCTTAATTAGTCCAAGCAACGAAATAATCTCGAGGGAGACAATCGGATATTGGTTAATGTTTAAGCACTGAGGCAATAGGTATGGCCTGCCCTTTCTGCTGAGCAATTTTGCCCCTAAAAAAACTATCCCCTTCACACAATTACATCTTTAATGGGGATATTTTGGAAGATGCAATGCAAAAGTTGCAGCTGAAGAAAGGCTTATTCCTATTTTTATTATCTGAACTCTAAGGCACTCTTCCATGCACCAAGAGTCAACTGAATAAGCAACATCTTTAATGACAGGATTTGATCTTTTCACATAACCTCAGTAAAAGGAATCATGAAAGAAATCACAAGAAGCCCTAAACATTTAGAGTTAATTCTAGTCACTTTAGTTGTGCTTAATTTCCTCCTTCGTCGTCGTGGAAACAGTTCATGCTCCACAGTCTTTCTAAAATAATTTTAGGCACTCAGAATTCTTTAAATATTGATGGACGAAATAATTTCATAGTGTTGGTCATGTCAAAGCCTTTTAAAAATTGCACTTTAAATCTAATCCCACTTGAGTCGCACAGAAAGATGTGAAATTACCTGAAACGCACTGTGCTTGTCAAATGGGTCTGAGAGCGTGGAATCAAATACCAACACCGTCCCAAGGTTTTTCTGGGGTACGAGCTTAGCATTCCGGCCCGGGATAGCAGCACCAGCTATAACATGTACATGCTGTCCTGTGGAGATCATTTCTCCTGCCTTGCTAGGTGAAGTGACACCTGCGGGCTGCAGGATTGCTCCACGGCAGGCACACAGCTCCCGTGGCAGAGAAGATGGATGCGTCAAGGACAGAAGCGCCCATTTTAGATGCACAGGGGACATGACCTTTACTTCATGGGGATTTGTTATAGGGGATTCGTGTGGCTCGTCCTGGAGAGGAAGATGGTGTTGCTTTTAAAGAACTAGTGAGCTTGTTTCTCTCTGCTTCACAGCTATTGATTTTCTGGAGAAAATACTGACATTTAACCCCATGGATCGATTAACGGCTGAGATGGGTCTGCAGCATCCTTACATGAGTCCATATTCCTGCCCCGAGGATGAACCGGTGTCTCAGCATCCATTCCGGATTGAGGATGAGATTGATGATATTTTACTGATGGAAGCCAACCAGAGCCAGATGTCTAACTGGGACAGGTACGGTACCCAGGGCTGGGCCAGAAACCAGATACTGGCTTAAATTCTTTAGGCAGAACTTGACTGGTGAGTCTCAGACTTGCTCTTGATTGGGTTCAGTCAGACATGTTCCAGACCCACGAAAGTCACCTGCTTTTCCTTCTGTATGCTATATTGTAATTCTAGCCCAAGCTGGCACCTTGCTGAAGCCAACGAGAGGTTCGTCTTTGATTTCCACAGGGAGCAGATGTTGAGCCTGCACATTCCAGTTACTGAATATCTTTATGCTTTTTGTTCTATTCACAGCCTATGTTGTCTTCGTTTGAGGTACATCTGTTTAAGTAATGCTACGGTTCTTTCCTCTGTCCCTGTAATACAAGGTATAAAATAATGTGATTTACTACCTTATGGGGACCGGTCCTGATTTGGAGCTCTATATTTATTACTTTTCAAGGTGCCTAAGCCCCAGAGGCCATAGATCTGGGGTGTTTAAAAAAAAAAATATCCTTAATTGTGCTGAGTTTTAAATGGTTTGCTGAAAGTCCTACAGGAAGTTTAGAGCAGATCAAAGCCTTGAGCTGAGGTCTCTCATGTCCTAGATGATTACCCCAGTTACTAGACCAGTCCCAGTACTGGAGCAGGTAGGACAAAATAAGCAGCTAAGAATTAACTAGGTTCACTTTCCTATAGAGCTCCTTCCAGCTGAGTGGGGTGAGCTGGCTGAGGATGTCTGCAGCATTGTTTCTCAATTAAATCTCCTCGCCTTCTTAATCCACTATATTTCACCAGCATTGAAAAAATAATCTAAAGAAATCCCTTGCCTTCACTGTTATTAATCTTTTTGCCTGGGCGAGCAAGTAGCAGGGTGGAGGCTGGGGGGGACAACCGTGCAAATGAGGTAAAGAGCAAAGCTGGAAGCTTTTCTCAGGGTATCTGTCTTCAGTGTGTCCCCAGAGCTCTGGCATCCCTGTCAGTTATAGTCCCTGAAGCAGCAAATCAGTTGCTGGAGGTCACCTGGTCACCTTTTTATTTCTTGGCTTTCTTGGTGTGACACAAGAAAGCAGGACCTAGACTGCTGGTCTTGCCACCCAGCTGGGGACATCTGCTTTAGTGCTTTAAATTTTTCAACACAAGCCAAGTGCTTTCAAAAAGGGAAATGAGTTTACCTGTGTGGTGTGGGACACCTGAAGAGCGTTTCATTGCCGGGACACAGAGCCCCAGTACCTGGGTAACACATCTTTTAAAGGCAGCTCAGTTAGGAGCCAGTAAATGAGATGTCACTTTGAAAACCATGTCATCGGGTAATTGCAATCAAGGGAGTCTGACTGGCTTGAGAAGTTACCGCTTAGCAAGGTGACCCTTCAGGGAGGCTCTTGGTCCACGACGTCAGAGTAAACTGGTGACATCCAATCTCAGCGTTGATTTAAGCTCATCTCTTTGGCTCTTATGGTCACAAACAAGGAGCACTCACACTGCGGGTGCTGGTCTCTGGGCTGAAGGCCAGTTTGATTATTAATATTGTTAATCATATTTTAATCTCAAGTGGAGAGCAGGTGATGATCGGCTAAATTTAGGGGCCAGTTGGTTGCTGGGCTTTTATTCCCACTACTGTTTCTGTCCATGCAGCCTGAGCATGCCTCAGACTCCTCATAAATCACTCAGCCCCCCCCAGATTTTCTTAACACACCAGCAAAAGGCCTCTAATATTAACAAGAACTTACAGATCTGTAGGTAAGCAGCATATTAGCAAGAAAAAGGTAAAAACAGCAGCAGCAGCTTGTGGGTCTGTTTGAGCACCGCTGTTTCTAACAAAGCCATCATCCACGTGTCTAATAGCAGCGTGTCTTTCGCAGGTATCACGTGAGCCTCTGCTCTGATTTGGAATGGAGACACGACAAACACCACGACATGGATGAGGTTCAGCGGGACCCCCGGGCGGCGTCTGAATCTATCGCTGAGGAAGCACAAGTTGATCCACGGAAATACTCGCAAAGCAGCTCGGAGAGGTTCTTGGAGCTATCCCACTCATCCATGGACCGCGTATTTGATGCGGATTGTGGGAAATCGTGTGATTACAAAGTGGGGTCACCTTCCTACTTGGACAAATTGCTGTGGAGAGACAATAAGCCCCATCATTACTCAGAGCCCAAGCTGATTTTAGATTTATCCCACTGGAAAAGAGCGACCATAGCACCCGCAGCTGAGCTGTCTCTGAAAGAAGAACCATCCAACCTCTTCCTGGAGATTGCTCAGTGGGTGAAGAGTACGCAGGTGGGTCTTGAGTGTCCCAGTCCTCTCCCGGAGATTCAGGAACGGAGCCTGCCATCTTCTCCTCACCATCTCCACAAAGAACCCACGGAGGTGAACAGTGAAACAAACCCTGAGTTTGACTTGGACGTCTTCATCTCCAGGGCGCTGAAACTTTGCACAAAACCCGAGGATCTTCCAGACAACAAGCTCAATGACATCAACGGAGCCTGCATATCTGAGCACCCTGGTGAGATTGTACAAACAGAGGTGTACCAGAAAGAGCGATGGTGAGGACCCCACACCAGGGAAACGCCGCTGTATCTCCCTGCTCCTCTCTGATGGTGTGGCCATTGCCTGGGGCCGAGTGGCTTCTGTCTGTCATTGAGCATCCGTTTTTTACACTATTCTGAATGCCTTTTTCTGAAAAGGCACGCACAAACCACATGCCCCTTTTGATGCCTTAGAAATACCTTTAAGGGAATCAAGAGGTGTGAATGAAATACTGAGTTCATGATAAGTTTACAAACAGAAGTCAAATCAACTTCTTTTCCTTTCTTTTTCTATAGCGTCTTAAAATGACGAGGACAAAATCAGCATTTTCATTATGGTCAGATAGATACAGCCTCCTGGTTTGATGGGTTCCCAAAACGCCAAACTTTGAGCTCCTCTGAGGTACCCATGTGAGTACAGGCGGTATGGAGAGAAGCGATGCCAGGCAGTGTCCGTGGTCAGCCATCAGTCAGCAGGGAATGGAATTAGAGGTACAGTTTGGCCATCAGACAGAAAATAACTCTTCGAGAATTGTTAATGGGGAAGCAATTTGACCTACAAAATATAGGCCACTTGGGATTTTATGATATTTTTTTCTGATTGGAAGATAGATTTTTTTTGCTAAGCGCATTGTCCTTGTGTGGTTTCTCACACATAAATTCTCCCTCTGTTGTACGGGGTAGGTCTGAGCTCTCCGAGTACTTAGGAGGCCCCATGCAATGCATTTCAGTGTAACAACCTGGTGCTGCATGTCCTGTCTCAGACAGCTGCCCAGCAGACCACCAAATTCTGGTGGTAAGGGCTGGACAGGTGTCAAGAGCTAAAAACAAGGTGTCACGGTGCGATGCTGCCTGGCACCACCAGCCACACAGACTCAGCAAGGGCACCCACCTTTGTTAGTGAAAAAGGAACGAAAGTACTACCATTTTACTTTTTGACAAAGATGTTGTGAAGAAAACAACAGTTCCTGTGGCATTAGATCCGTAACTGGCCATGGGCATGTATAAAAAATTACATTTCTCCGAGGCACTTTGCTTCCAGCTTCTTTGGAAGATGCTGGTGTCAGCAGGCAACTGAGCACGGTTTGTAAATAGACACAGACACAACTGATCTACTGTAACTTCTCTTCTCATCCACACTTCTGAGCACCTTAAGAATTAATCAGCTAACAAGAGTTTGTATATGGAAGAAATGTTCTATACTTATATTTAATCAAACTCGGCAGTTTTTTAAGTGGAAAACCTGTAAATAGTGTCATAAAAGCCAATCTCCGCTTTCCTTGCCATCGTGTCACTGTGCTCTCCAGCACGGCGGCGCTACTTTCATTTGTAAAAGAGAAACTACTGTACTTAGCAACTCCAAGGTCCATATTTAACTGTTGTTCCTATACGAATTGTTTCTACCCTTTCAACAAGCAATCTACTAAATGTTCTGAGACGTGAAGAAAACTCCTCTGAGACTTGGATGATAACTAACAGCAGCCTTTACTGTATTAACCCTGGTTTCTGTCCTTGGTGGGATCAGGTACAGGTTTAGCTGTAGGAGAGCTTGTGCTAGGCATTGACAAGCCCCAAAACTTGCTCTTATTGTGAAGATCTCTCCTTAGGATGATTGAAATGCCGTTACTCCAGCTGATTAGCAGCATAGATGTGATGGCTGCCGGCTGCGTGGATGGGGTAGGGTGGAAGTCCTGGGGCAGGGGTGGAGAAGGCACCTGGAAGGCAAAGCCATCGGAGAAGGCATCTGGAAGTCAAAGCCATTGGAGAAGGCATCTGGAAGGCAAAGCTGTTGGGCTCCTGTCTTTGCTTTGAGTATCTGGACGTCCGCCACAGTGGTTTAGAAAGGGGAAACAAAGGAGAAAAAGCGGGTTGGTTTCCAGTGTGTTGCAGATTATTGATATACCTCAACTAAAGCTCAGCACTTTTACTCGTGGTGGGAGAAATTCAGACGCCGAAGAAGTGGCCGCCCCTGCGGTGCAGCGGATCCGAATCCGGCCCCGGCAGCCCACGACTCACTGCCCGTGGTCCTCCTCGGCTTTGCTGTGCCCCCGACAGCGGCCAGCAAAGGCTGGGAAGGGGGTTGCCAGTCCTGGAGTGTGTGCCCAGAGAGGAGGAGGCGGCAGCAGCCACACTTGCGTCCCATCGCTCCTTGGTGCCGCCCTGAGAGGAGCAGATAACACCCAGCCTCTGACAGGAGAGGCACAACCGCTGTGGCTGAAAATTAGATGTTTGGGAGCTGACAGAGTTGAAACCCTGAAGGATAAGATCAGCAACATGAGAGCTGACTTTTAAAACTCTCTTCTGACAGATTCAGCAAATATTTGCTACCGTTGGGTTAAGCACGGAGAGGCGCTGACGTGTGAAATCAGCAGCGATCAAACCACGCCAGCGTTTTCCTTGGTGGGCATCAGTCGCCACGTCCTCTGAAACCAGAAGCCATTTTCCGTGGGCTGTTACATTCGGCCTGAATGTCTTCACTAGAGACGTACGGGACTATTTATTATGGCCATGAAAGTAACAGTTTTGCTTTTCAATATTATCTGCTAAGGAGAAGTGGGAGCTTGGGGGCCCACAGTTAAAGTCTAATATTAACTTCACAAGAAGTAAATGGAGCTTATTGCTGCTGCTCCGGATTTTCCATCTCGGTTCATGAGCTGTTACCTAACGTTGTTCCAAAACCTCGGTGTCACATGCTGGGAAAGGGGGGGGAACGAGAGAGGTGGCTTTAATTTGTTACCTGAGTGTGCTCAGCCGACCACAAGCCAGATTTATTTCTCATCTACAACAATAAAATTTAAGGCCTGAGCCTTCCTTACTTGGTAGTGTGTAATTATTTTGCTTATTATGAGACTTGAAATGTTTATTCCAGTACTCGTGTCCAGGTTCCTTCTGCAAATGATCACGAACACCTGAATTAGTGCCTGCATCATGTGAATATTTGCATTCTGGGGTTGTTTGGGGTTGGGTGGCTTTTCAGCGAGCTTTGCTTGGGCTGGAGCAGTCCGTCCGAGCGCTCAGGGTCACGGGGAGGGAGTTCAGACCTCGTCCCCCACACAGTGACGTCTGCAAACTGCTGCTTCTTGCAGTTGTTTGAAGAATTGTTTCAGTCCAAGATCAACCATCAGGCATTTCAATAAATTTGTATGTGTTACTTATTTTAAGAGAAACCAGGAGCATTGCTATCATGAATAATACGGATGGTGGGATGGGTGGACATCCTGGATTTAGAGATGTGCTGGGCAGAGGCAGGAGGGACAGAGGGTGCTCGTTGTGCTCTCCGAAGCTCGGGAGTGAGCGATGTGGCCCTGCTTGGTGACGTGGAGAAGCACCCCAAAGACAGCGCAGATGACTTCTCTGACAGAAGCAGAGGGGCTGCAGATGTCTCCAAGCTGAGGAGGACCTCAAGTTCAGAGGCTGGAGTTTAAGCCAGTGAACAGGTACGTCACCGCCCTCTTGGGTCCCAGCCATTGTGGCCAGCCTTTTACGTGGTTTTATTTGAAGAAGAACGGAGGAAGCAGCATCCCCCCTGCCCTGAACTTGTGGACGCTGCTTGTGGTGGCCTCCATGCCGGGGGTTGGGGTCTGTGGACGCTGCTTGTGGTGGCCTCCATGCCGGGGTTTGGGGTCTGTCCTGCCACTACGGCCGCCCACCGTCCACAAGCTGGGGACTGGGAAGCCATCAGGGAGACAAGGGTGCAGCTGCCTGCTCAGCTGCTCTTAAAAACACTTTTAAATGCCAGAATGGTGCCTCCGACAGTCGAGTGGCTGGCTCGGTGATTGTTCTTCCCCAGTCACAAATACGTGACTGTTTTTGCTGCAGTTAGTTTATTTTTAATCATGTTGGGATTCAGCAACTGTTCCACGATCACAGAGCTGCGTTAAGCAGATGTTCAGAGCTTTACCATTAGAGTACTGAAAAAATCAACTTCAGCTTACTTTTAAATATGGTTTTAGGGACATCCTTGGATGTGTTTCCTATGCAAATCGCACCTGGATCCCAGAGTAAAACCACAACATAGTGACAATGAATATTACAAGTGGAGCTGTTGGAGACTGGACTGGTGATGATCATTTCGGTGCCTTTTGATCCAACAAATTCGAGGGATTTCATGCCGCCTTCTAACATTTCAGAGAGCTTGCAGTGAGAACGCTGTATAGCGTGGCATGCGGTCATTTCAAGTCTGAAATGCTCTTTTTCTTCTATTGATTATAAGAGGAACTGAAGAGGACAAATATACCATATGGTGTTTGCTCATGAATAGTTGCCTCTGACATTTTCAAAGGCAGAGCTTGATTCTGAAGTAGTACGATACTTGGGTGAATGTAGTCCTCTCAAAGTGCATCTTCACTTGAAGACCATGCTCACCACGCTATTTTGAACTGCCATCTGGCCACTGTCAGAGCCGGTTTATAACAATCACATTGCTAAATTCAAAGAGTAGGATTTTATTTATCAAAAAAAGGAGAGAGTCTGTGTTAAAAAGATTACCTTTTCTCACAGGGGCTTATTCCGTCGGCTCTTGGGTTGCAGCAGAATAGACTGCAACAAAAGGATCTCGAAAGTGTTGCTTTGATTAATGTTGCAGTGAAAAGAAGGTGGTTTAGGGAGTCTGTATAAATTTTTGTTAAGCTTTGGAGAGAATGTACCCAAGTACCTCTTTGACAGGACAGACTATACCTAAAAATATAATGAATTCCTGTGACATGTCACTGTTGCATGGAGTGTGCCTACACACAGATGGTATATTGTTTTATGTTTAAGCAATATATAATATTGCTCCCAGAAAATGGCAATAGATGTAGGTAAAGGTGCTTCAAGGTGTGATTTGAACTGTCTGCTTACTCTCTGTGCTTTGGTGTCACTGCATGTCTGATGACCGCTTAGTGCTTGGGCACTAGCTCTAGCCTCATGTTTGTGGGAGTTCCTACGTAGGTCATCTTGGTGGTGGTATAAATACCTGGGGCAAAATCTAGGGTAATTAAACAAACTTTGATAGTCCAGTCTGCAGAATGGAGCAGATAT